TTAAAAGTATTTTGGTACCAGCAGTCAGGAAATCAAAAAGCGTATCGCGATGGGAAAGTCTGCTGTTAGGGACCTCTCAAAGGTACTCAGGAGCAACAGTGTCTCTCTGGAGACTAAAGTGCGCCTGATACAGGTCATGGTATTTGCAATCCCTTGTTATGCATCAGAGAGTTGGACAATGACTAGGGAGGACAGAAGGAGAGTGGATGCTTTTGAGCTGTGGTGCTGGAGAAGGGTACTGAATGTACCATGGACTGCCAGGAAAACAAACAGATTCATCTTGGAGAGGATTAAACCAAGCTACTCCTTGGAGGCAAGGATTCTGGGCCTTCGTCTGACATACTTTCGACATGTTGCCAGGAGGGACGGGTCCTTGGAGAGGGACATCATGCTTGGGAGGGTGGAGGGACAGCGCAGGAGGGGAAGACCCTCTATGAGGTGGATTGATTCGGTGACTGGGGTAATCCGGATGGGTGTGTCAGAGGTGGTGCAGTTGGCACAGGATAGAGCAGGGTTTAGGGCTGTTGTGCATAGGGTCGCTATGAGTCGGAAACGACTCGACGGCACATAACAACAACATATGGTATTTAATTATTGATACACATTGCAGTCTGATTGCAGAAAAGAGATTATTACAGATAGGTTTTTTTTTTGTTTAGTCTAAGCAGAAACTGATTCTGTTATTTAAACGTTGCATAGATTTTAATCTGTTTATTAGACAGACTAAGGCTTTGTTTGGAAAGGATGTCTGGCAGAGTATTCCATACAGAGGTGTGCTGTGAAGCCAAAAGCAGTGCCTTCCTTTGTGTTCAAATCTACTGTTGTTCCATGGTGAACAACTTCCTTCATTGAAAGTTATAGCCTCCTGAAAACTCACTAGTATATCAGCTGTTAATTTTTCCAACTTTCCCTTGCATTTTAAAAAACCTATACTTGTCATCTTCATTCATTCTTTCACATTCAAAGTAATATCTATTTCAATGTCATTTGAAGCAATAAACCCAATTCTGACTCTTTAGCTCGTTTTTGCTAATCACCTACTTTTTTTTAATCACCTACTTTTTGATATGCTCAATGTAATATTTATTTCTAGGGATAAGATGGCACATTGTAATTGGTGTCTCATCTTCTCATTATAAACACTTCTTCACTCACTGTGTTCTGTCTCCTGTTCGCAGAATTTCACAGAAGCTTTCTGACAAAAGCCAGGGCTCTTTGAGATGCTGTGCGCTGGAGATAATTGCATCTTCATCTTAACTGTATTTCTTTGTTTCCTCTGTCATATTTATCATCCTTTCTAGAACATTCTCTACATTTATGACTTCATAAATTACCATTCATATGAATCTCTGTATACATCTTCAATAATTTGATCTGTAACATCTTTATGTGTGTTGTGTCTTCACTTAAGAAGTTGATCTTGAATTCCCCACCAACATAGTCACTGACTTCCTGAGTGACTTCATGTGCAAGTCCCACAAGGTCCTTTACACATTCATATGTAATTAATTTTCTGTTGTAAACCTTATTCTATTCCTTTGCTATGCCAATGATATTTTAAATCACATATATTATTTGATTTTTTTATTTTAAAACATTTTCAGTCAACTTTGACTCATTACATTTCTAAATAGTACATTATTGTGGTTTTGATAAGGGTCACACATTCTTCTTTTAACATAAAACTAGATATATACTGAATGTTCAATGAAGTATCAGGAAAAAAGAATGAGGGAGAAGGAGAATCACACTGATGGTTAAGGTGCATATGAATATTTTTAAATTAATATGCTCTGCTACTGAATAGTTGAATATAACAATGAATAATTGTATTGAATATTGAATAGTTCAGTAAAAACCTCAATAATTATAATACTAAATTTTCATTCTTAGGAGATCAGCCAATTGGAGGCTTACTAATATTTTACCTTTGCACTAATTATGAAATAAGGTTTGCTGAGTTAACTAATTTCTTTTCAGAAAGTTTATTTAAGCTGTGTTTGAGATAAACTTTATTAAGAACTTCAAGATTTAATAAAATTAATGACAAAAATAATGAGGTAACTTCACTGAAGTATTATCAAAGTTACCTATATTTGGGAAAAGACACATATTTAAATTCCAACACTATTTTTGGCTCTTTCATTCAGTCATGGATGAAATTTTGGATTGTCCTACCATAATCAGATCTTCTGTGTAGTATCACTGATGAGGCTATATTATCCTCACCACTGTCCAATAATAATAATGCTGTTTATTGTTTTCAGGAAAATCACCAGTGTCCTTGGCATGGCACCTAGTATATGCTAGGCATTACGGAATTCCAAGAATCCCTGAGAAACACTTTATCTTAGATTAAAAAACATTTGAGTTAAGATGGTATAATTATTGGAAATAAAATTTTAGCCTTATATATTGACCGCTATAAAGACCTTCAGAAAATCTTGTTGATTTAGGGGAATTATGGTGACCAGAAGCTGTGCCACAGTCCTGAAGGCACATGGTTCAAGGCCACCAGTTACTTGACTGGAGAAGAATGGGCAATCTCTTCCCGTACAATTAAAATTGCCTCTGAAAACCTGCTGGAAGTTCAGCTAAGGGTTAATTCTAACTTTACAGTACACAACAACAACAATAACAAAAAGGTCTGTTTAGTTTTGTTAGATATTCTCAAGTTGACTACTGTTTATAGCGACCATATAAGTAACAGATCTGCACCCTCCCTTACCTGTGCCGTCTCACAGTCCCTGGTATGCCCATCCATTGTTACAGTCTCTCTGTCAGTTCGTCTTATTGAGGTTCTGCCTCTTTAACCAATTATGTGAGATGAAGTTTCAACATCTTTGCCTGTAAGGAACACCCGGCGTGCCCTTCCTCCAATATACACTCGTTCTTTGATGGTCCATTGCATATTCAGTACTCTTCTGCAACACCACAATTCACAGCCATAAATTCTTCTGTCATCCTTATTCATTTTCCAGCATCCAAGTACATTAGAAGTAATTGAAAAGACCATTACTTGAATCAGGGGCATCATAGTCTTTAAGATCTTTGCTCATTATTAACATTTTGGAAATGCTGCAGTTTTTCCCAATCCAACATGCCACCTTTTACTTTTTGGACTGCTATTACCATGGATTTTGATTACAGTTCAATAAGATGAAATAGTTGACAATGAGTCGTTTTTTCCTTCTATCATGAATACTACTTGGTGAAGAATTTTTGACATTGGGATATCGTTCGTACTGAATGCCGTAGTCTTTGATCTTCCTCAGCAGGTGCTTCTGGTTCTCGTCTCGTCCAGCAAGCAGGGTTGTGCCATCTGCGTAATGTAGGTTCTTGATGAAGATGATGTTGTGGATGTGTACTGTTGAATTGGAACCATCTTATAGCTGAACCTTGAGCGGGTTTTCAGAGGCAATTCTACTTGCACAGGAAGAGATGGCCCATCTTTCTCCCATAGGACAGCTGGTGTATTTGAACTGTGTGCCTTTGGGATTTTAGTGCAGCTCCTTACCATTAGACCAGGTTGTTGATGAGTCTGCCTCAAATCTTCTTGTTGCAATCGTCTTCATATAGTCCAACTTTCTGAATTATTTGCTCAGTGTATACATTTGAGTAAGTATATAAGTATACAACCATGATATACATATTTATTGATTTTAAATATCTTAATTGGGTCTTAGTAAGGCTCAAAATCAAAAATGCTTATAGAATTTTATGGTTTGTCTGATTTTATGTCTTGTGTTAAGCAGTAAAGTGCTGATTAGGATTGGCAGTATTTCTAGAATAGTAATTTTAGATTGGTGAGCATGTTGATGAGTAAAGAAACATAAAACAATTTTTAGAAATAAGTTAGCTAGATAAGATCTTAGACTCATTCATTGGTTTATTATCAAAACATAGATGCATGCTAAAGCAAGCAACGAGATTTACCTGATCTTTTTATTATTTAACATAACAATTAAAGATATTATGTTCCCCAGAATTGTTAACAATGGGAAGTAGAAAACAGAATATTGCAGAAATATCAACCTGAAACTATTAGTTGAAGTCAGAAGAGCAAACAAAATCACTTAAGATTCTAGACGAGAGTATGAAAATGATGGGTTTTTTCCCCACTTGTGATGTTTTGGCTTCAGAGCTCCTGCCAGAAGAGCAGACAGACAGTCCCTGAAGCACGGGGACATAAGATGCCCCTTGCAGGCACGAGTGACAAAGCTCCATCTCACACACTTTGGGTGTGTTTCTAGGAGAGGCTCTTGGTAGAGCGAGGAAACCTCCTTAGAAAGGTACGGTCAGTGAATGAGGGGAAACCCCGGATGAGACAGATTGGCACAGGACTGCAGCAGTGATAATAAGATAATACGCTGAAGAGATGATAAAGCCAGCACAGGCCAGGACAGGGTAGAGATCTCCTGTTTATAAGGTTACTATGAGTTGTAATTGACTAGACAACATGTAACAGCAAAAACAAGACAACAACTATGTGATACTGAAATGTCTCAAGCCTAATTTAAATTTAAACTTGTTTTAATGTTTAAGAAAAACCCTGTTTTTAGGAATTGACCCTCAGAAATTATGATTTTTAAGTATACTTATTTGTAAATACCTATAAAGTTACGGGTTATAGAATTCTATAGGAGGGAGCTCTGGGGGATAAGTGGTGAGGAATTGTGCTGCCAACAACAGGGCGTGAGGTTCGAATCCACCAGATGCTCCATCGTAGAACGATGGACAATCTACACCTATGCGATTTACTGCCTCTGAAAACTGGAAGATCAGCTTTGAGTTGATTCTAAATTGATAGTACATAACAACTCCTATATTCATTTACTAAAATTTGTAATGAGTTAATTAACTCAAAAGAATGAAGTACAACAGTTAACAAAACCCTTAAAGCCATTTAAAGTTCTTAGAATCTCTAAAGAAAATCCAATAAGCACTTGAAAACCAAAATCAATAGAGTGTTAAGATGTTTCTTTTCTGATTTGCTACAGGGTCCAAGCTTTCTCTCAGAGGCCTTTTTTCCTAACCATGCAACCAAAATTGAAGAAATAGACCCTTCTTTCAACCTTCATGAAACCATTACAAAGGTAGGAGAAATGAAATGCATTCATGAGCTAGATAGAAGAGTGTTCTTTTTTAAAAGGTGGATGGGGGAAAAATATCAATCAAAAGAAATGTATATATTTTGTCTAAAGATTTTATTAATTACATTTTATGAAACTAAGAAGCAAAGATAAGAAATATATTTGAGATTAAACATACTGATGATTTGCTCCCCCAAAAGAATATTTAATTACAAATGAGAGTTTTCTGTGTGTGTCCTCAATTTGAGAACATATTCTTGACGTGGTATCAAGTGTATCTATTCAGTTTACATAAAGGACATAATAAATCAGATGTTCAGATTTCTGCATTTACAAAGTTTTATTCCAAAATGTAAAATGTTGTTCTTCTGTGTACTCGTAAGCTGAGTTTATGGTAAGGAAAGGTTTCCGTGGAGCAGCTGTTTGTGTAGGGCTTGTTGGTTCCCCATGCCCTGCCCGTCCCTCCCTTCTCCCCAGCATCTTCAGAGTAGAGAGCTTTCTAATATGGTGACAGTGGACTTGTAAATTACATGTCATGTTCTTACATCACATTAAATTTCCATATTTACTAATTATCCATTTAACAGACCTTTTGTTGATAGAATCTGCATTTTTTTTGGTTTAATTTTGTCTTGTTTCTTAATTCAAATATTCCAGATATTTAGATTTATGTTTTAATTTTTGTTTATTTAAAGTAAAACATGAGATCTTAGGGAAATGGAATAAAATATTTTCTCAATTTTTTTACACTTTTGCTATGAATCAGGAAGATGAATTTTTTTTATTTGATGTGTTATTATAAGTTTATAAAGAACTTGGATTTCTATTCATTCATTGTTGGACAATTTCCTCCCTGTCCCATCCCCCCCCAGTTCACTTAAAAAAAAAAAGAAATCATTCACTGTTGCACAATCTCCTCCTCTCTCCACCCCTCAGTCTTCTTTGCAATGCACCTCTTATTCTGGACTGTTGTCATACAAATAATGCATAATTATATATTCCTTTTAGATACATGCATTCTCATGTTTATTTTTTATCTTTTTTTTTTTTTTGCACACCCATGTTTGTTACTGTGTTATTCACAATAGCAAAGAGGTGGAATCAACCCAAGTGCCCATCAACAAATGAATGGATAGAAAAATTATGGTATATTTACACAATGGAATACGATACAACACTGAAAAACAAGGAATTCATGAAATATTATGCAACATAGGTAACCCTGGAGGACATTATGCTGAGTGAAATATCTCAGTCACAAAAGGAACAATATTGCATAACACCACTGTTGTAAAACTGGACTGACATGGGGAGTTGAGGGAAAACTAAGAAAAAGGGATAAATAATGATTTTCACCTTTTGATACATACATTTACCTGCTTTGCTTTCTCAAATAGCTATCATCCTATAGCAATCACTGTTACTTTCTTGTTGCATCTAATTGAAACTTCTCTGCCTTTAATGTCTATTTTCAGAAACTTTTTTTTTCATTTCTTCTTTTTTGAGGGTTTCCCTCTCTTTTTTTAATTAATTTTAATGAATGTTTACAGAAAATTAGGTTTCCCAGTCATTAACTGTACATTTTTTCATTTCTTTTTTTTTTTTAAATTTAGGTTGTTTATTTTTAATTTCAATGAACATCTACAGAGATTTTGGAATTCCATTCATTCATTGTTGCA